ATTCGGTTTGTGGGACAAGCTGCAGGTGTAGATGCCACAATTGGGGTGGATTATTGGATTGTATCTACTACGATCGGACTTATATATATAGAGCTTCAGCTACCCTTACTAGAAGGTGTATAATTAGTAAACCTTTCTTACTAGAGCTCCTGCTTTTTATTAGGCACTTATTAGTAAGCTAGTAGTTAATTAGATAGTAGGTTATATAGGGGTATTAACTAGAATTAATTAGGATTAATTAGGATTAATTAGGATTAATTAGGATTAATTAGATTAAGATACTCTATAATCTAGTTATTATCCCTCCTATAATATACCCTCTAGGTATAGGTAAATCTTTTATTATAGTTATCTACGCGTAATTAGTAGTTAGTATAGCTAATTAGAGTATTATATATCTAAAGGGTTAAATTAGCTTACCTTTTAAATACTAAATTAGGGCTAGCGCGCTTTTCTTATTAGCCCTACGTGCTTACGCGCTAATATTATCTAAACTAAGCTCTAGGCTTTATTTACCTAACTATAATCTTTACTATAGCTTAAATTATAAGATTATATAATTAAAAATCTAAACTATACTTATATTCCTACTAATCTATATCTTAGTTAAAGTTAAAATCTACTACTTATACTTATACTACCTATACTACCCTTAATACCTCCTACGCTACTAAAGTAGCTACTACTAAAGCTACTAAAGAGGCTAAGTATATAGCTACTAAGCGTAAAGCTATTATAAAGCGTATAGTAACTAAGCTTATAGCTACTACTACTATTAAAAAGTTTTTAATTAAAGCTACTTATAAAAATATATATAGTTATATTTAAATAAGATTAAGAGGCTAAGAAAAAAGTATATCCTAACTTTAGCTTTTACTCCTCTAGCTCTACTTTAGTTACCTACTTTTTTCCTAGCTCCTACTTCCTTTTAGACCTTAATTAAGGCCCCTACTTCTACTTTTACTCCTTTTCTAGCTTCTAAGAAGACTTTAAAATCCTTTTACTATAAAGAGCCTAGTATTTATTATACTAAAATTTATTTAAACTGTTTATATTTTATACTTTTTAATAAGTCTAATAGTAAATACTATAACTTTTCTAGTAAAAAGACTTAGTACTAGTAGTACTTCTCTAGGTATAGCTATATCCTAATATATATAATCTACATAAGAATTTTTCCTTTATAATACTTAATAAGATTTATACTAATAAACTAATAGCCCTAAGCTTGCCTAATACTCTACACTATCCTTTCTAGTAAAAAAATAGGTAGGTAAGAGCTAAAATCTTTTTAAAAATAAAAAAAAAAGATCTTAGTACTTCTTAAGAAAAGTAAGGCTTAATAGTAAAAGCTAGTAAAAGCTACTACTACTACTATTAAGCTTACGTGTAAGGCTACTACCATAGCTAAAGGCGCCTAAAGCTCTTTATTTAAAGATAAGGACTCTAGATCTTTTAAAGTTCCCCTTATAGATTCTAAGTAAGAATAACCTAGGTAGCTTCTTATAAGCTCTAAGGCACGCTATACACGTATAATAAAGCTTCTTAGAAAAGCTACTTAGTTAATAATAAAAAAGTAGGCTATAGTTAGTTACTCTTATATTATATATTAATAAATCTTATATACTACCTTTACTTTAATTAACGCTCTATAATATATACTCTACTATTATATAACTTTAGGTGCTTTCTAAACCTTATAAATTATTATATAGTTAGGTTTTTAGTAAGCCTATTAGCTAGTATTTTACTAGTAGGTAGATAAGTAATATAAAAGGATCCCTTTATATATTCTTATCTAAGCTATATATTTTAAATATCTATATAGTGTAGCTTAGTAGTAATCCTTTTATAATTACCTACTACTAACCTAATAGTTTATTAATTATTATAATTAATTATCTAGATAGTATTTAAAGTAAGGTGTATTTTAGTTAAAAAGTATTTTAATACTATTACTTCTTTACTTACTTGCTTAAGCGTAAGGAGCTCTACTTAAGTAGTTAAAGTAGTAATAGTTACTTGTTAAGCTGCCTTCTAAATAATAGGTCCCCTAAAGAGTGTAATTAGGTATCTATATAATAATTACTAAGTATAAATATTATTAGCAAATAACGCATTACTATATATTATAAGCATATTAGGATATCTATTTTTATATTAGATTAATTAGTATTAAGTATAGTATAGATAGATAATTACTTAATTAACTATATTAAAGTGTTATTTAGATAGGTTAGTAAGGTATTAGGAGAGCTAGGAGGCTATATAGGCAATATTAGGGCACACTATAATTAAGGTATAAAGGATTAATCTAACACGCTCTAATAGTCCTTAATCTCCTTTTTAGTAGCTTCTCTAATACTCTTTTTAATATCTTTACTTAATAGTAGTGTAGTAGGGAATTTTCCTATCTCTACTAGATTAAATTCTTTATAATCTTGTTAATATATTTATTATAAATAAGTGTTATTGTCCATCTCTTTCTATCCTAGATTACTCTTACCCCTAGAAACTAGCTTACAGGTCCCTTTTCTTCTATAGTATATCTTTGCTTTAGAGCTTAGATAACTTTGTGAGCTTGGCTTGCGTAGTTTTGGTAATAGAGCAATAGGATATTATCTATATAGAATATTAATAAGATACTATAATCTTTATTAAAGAATAGGTATAGCTCCTCTTTAGAAGTAATAAGCTTATTTTCTTAGAGTGTAGTTAAGAGCTTATTATATTATAATAATAGTAAGTCTTTTAATCTATATAGAGCTTGTTTAAGCTTAATATACTTCCTAGGTATTTAATATCCTTTAGGTAGCTTATAGATAACTATAGGGTGTTAATCCCTTAAGGTGTTAAGGAAAGCTCTAATAATATTATATTAATATATCTTAAGGTTAAACTTAGCTCTAATAGCTATTATAGTCCTAAAGGTTTAAGCTACTAGGGTAGCTGCGTAGGTTAAATAAATTAAGTTAGTAAGCTATAGATCTTCTCTTACTACTATCCTTGCTTTATACTTAATTAGGTAACTATCCTAATTAAGCTTGTATATAAACACCTATTTAAGTAGGAGTAGATACTTTTCTATATTTAGCCTATTAATCTCCTTTTAGGTACTAGTTTTTAGTAAAGTATTAATTTTTTTATATACTACGTCTCTAAATTGCTATCCTATTTAGTAGTTATAGAGATTCTTTTATTATTTTAGCTTCTTTTATAGAGCGTCCTAGTACGTATTCCTTTTAGAGTTTTTAGGAGATTTACTCTCTATTACTACTATAATTATAGCGTAGATTATAGTATTTAGTTTAGGATATACTAAAAGATTATATAAGGGATTTCTAATTAGATTTATATCTAATAGATCTATTACTATATATATCCTTATATTTATAAAGCCTTCTAGTGTGCCATGGTAAGGGATGTATAGGAGAAAAACAAGGCTTAGCCTAAAAAGTTAGGCGGAAAGAATGGTATAAAGGCATGAAGGATTAGAGGATAGGATAAGCATAACTTAGCGAGACTTTACTTTAACTCTACAATATTATCTTTTTACTTATATTTCTATATTAAACCTATATCCTCTACTATAGGATTACTACTATTAAACCTTGCCCCTCCTACTTCTCCTTATTTAAATAGGTTACTCTCCCTAACAGTACAAATAGCAAATCCTAAGGGGAACTTATCTTATCTTAGTAAAGGGGAGGGCCTAGTAGCATGTAACTAAGAGGACATTTCTCTAAGTATAAGGATGGCAGAGAAAACTTAAAAAAATAGGTAGTGT